TCTTTGCATATTAGAAGATCATAAAAATATTTTCCTTGTTTTTGTAGAAGTATTATTGTGGTTAGCTTCTGCATTTAGGTCTCTGGTTTCCTCAAATTATTTTTTGTCTGGTGTCAAGTAAGAGTTGAAGTTCATTTTTTCCATACAGTTGTTCAGTTTTTCAGCATCATATAGTTAAGAGAATTTCATTTACAATTGAGTGGCTTTGGTCTCTGTTGAAAATGAATAAAATGTATCTAATTAAGTCTATCACTAGACACTCTATCCATTGTGTATTTGTGCAAGCAAACAGAATTAATTACTGAAGTTCTACAGTGGTGAAATCATGGGAAAAATTTTAAATGTTGATGCAGACTAATTTAACAATTAAAAATTTAGTGTATCATGCTTTTGGTCTGCCTAACCCTAGCTTAACAAACTTTTCTCTTATGTTTTCTTTAAAAGTTTTGTAGTTTCACTTCTTACATGGGTCTAAGATCAATTTTGAGTTAATTTTCATGTTCAGTATATAATGCAGACCTTGACTCATGTTTATTACCTGGACATTCAGCTTCCCAGCATCTTTCATTGAGAAAAATAATCATTCCCCATTGTATTACCTTGGTACCTTTTTCAAATTCAATGGGCCATGAATATAAGTGTTAAATTCTGGACTCTAGTTTATGTTTCTTGGGTCTATATATCTATCTTAATGCCAGTACCACACCATCTTGATTAACAGATTTTTTAGTAAGCTTTGAAATCATGAACTATTATCCTCCATCTTAGTTCTTTTTAAATGATTCTTTTGACACTTGAACACTTTCCATTTCTGTATATACTTTTATTAATAGCCCTTCCCTTTCTGCAAAAATAAACCCTGTTTGGACTTGATGGGGATTGCACCAAATATGTAACTTCATCCTTCACCTCAAGAAACTCCTTTCTGTTGGATTTCAGTTCAGCTGGTTTTCTTTACTTGCATAGCTATCTGCTGAATTTAAAATAAAATTTTAGACATTTATTGCAGGAACCCTAGATGTTGCAGAAAGGTATCATGCCTTCTTTAATGTGTTATATTCTACTAATAAGTGAAAGTTCTCACAATTTTTAAGTAACAAAAGATCAAGTGAATAATTAACAATCTCTGGCTCCTGCTATGCATCAGAGAGAAGGCACTGGAAGAACTTTATGTAACTACCCTCCTGTCCCCAGTCTCCCTCCCTTTGTCCCCTTCTGTTTCCCCGATACTTCCAAATAATTAATGTCTTTTAAAAAATATAGATTCCACAATATTGTGAAAATGGCTATATTATCAAAAGCAATCTACATGTTTAATGCAATACCCATCAAAATTCCAATGACATACATCACAGAGATAAAAAAATCAATCCCAAGTTCAAGTTCACCTAGAAGCACAAAAGACAGTGAGTAGCCAAAGCAGTACTGAGCAAAAAGAGGAATGCTGGAGGTATCACAATATTCAACTGCAAACTATGCTACAGAGCCATAGCAATGAAAACAGTATGGTACTGGCACAAAAACAGACATGAAGACCAGTGGAACAGAATAGAGGATCTGGATATGAATCCATGCAGCTTTACTCACCCGATTTTTGATAAAGTTACCCAAAACATATACTGGAAAAAAGACAGTCTCTTCAACAAATGTTGTTGGGAAAACTGAATACTGCATGCCAAAAACCGAAACTAGATCCATGTCTTTCACCCTGTACAAGTATCAACTCAACGTGGATAAGGGATATTAACATAAGACCTGAAACTGAAAATAGTGCAGGAAAGAGTTGAGTATACACTGGAACTTATAGGCATAAGCAGTAACTTCCTAAATAGAACTCCAATGGTGGAGCAACTAAGAGAAAGGATTGACAAATGGGACTACATGAAACTAAAAAGCTTTTGCACAAAAACAGAAATGGTCACTAGATTGTAGACACTAGATTGGAGAAAATCTTTGCCAGTTTTGCATCTAACAAGGGATTAAAACTAAGGATATGCAGAAAGGTGAAAAAACTAATGTCTTCCTCCCCCAAAAAATCAGTGACCAATGAAGAAGTGGGTAAATGTACTAACCACACCTTTTTCAAAGGAAGAAGTCCAAATGACCAAAAAACACATTCCTGCAAATCAAAACCACAGTAAAATTCTGAGACACTCCTGTAAGAATGGTTATCAATAACACAAACAACAGTGAATGTTGGCAAGGAACCCTCATACTCTGTTAGAGGAAATGTAAATTAGTACAACCACTATGGAAAACAGGATGAAGTCTCCTCAAAAAATTAAAAATAGATCCGGCATATGATCCAGCAATTCCATTCCTAGGTATATACCCAAAGGAATGTAAGTCAGATTAGAATAAAGACACCTGCTCACCCATATTTCTTGTAGCATTGTTCACAGTAGCCAAGTTATGGTAACAGCCAAGATGTTCCACAACTGATGAATGGATTAAGAAAATATGGTCTTTGTATATAATGGATTTAATTCAACTGTAAAGATGAATGAAACTTTGTCATTTGCAGGTAAATGAATGGAACTGGAAAACATTATATTAAGTGAAGTTAGCCAGGTTCAGAAACCAAAGGTCTCATGTTTTCTCTCACATGTGGAAAATAGACCTAATAAAAATAAAAGCAATATTTATAAGTACATATTAATCTATACAGAACATGTATCCAAAAGTGGGACTGGTGGTGGAGACCAAAGGAGGAGGAAAAGAAGGAAATAAAGACAGTGAATGATAATGAAGGACATCACATCTGTATAGGAACAAGACACAATGAAACACACTGAAAACTGTTAAACAATATAGGATAAGAGAAAAAGGCGAGGAAGTGCAGTAGAGGGGGGTTACACAGACTCAAGCAAAATGCCTGTACAGGTATAATATCAAGGCAAAACTCCCAGTGAACAATGAACAGACACTTAAATAACAAAGGCAAAGAATTCAAAACAGGTCATGCTAAGGGGACAGCATTTATGGGAGAGGGAGGATTAAAAAGGGAAGTAAAGGAGGTGAATATGGTTGATGTATTTTCTGTAAAAGAGTGAACATAGGATATTTAAACCTGTTGAAATTACCATGAGAAGAGGACTATGACAGAAAGGAGAAAAATGGAGGGAATGAACCAATTCCGGATATAACACATACATACATGGAAATGTATTGCCATGGAAATGTAATTCCCTGTACAGCTATCTTAAACAAACAAAAATGTCTCTTTTTAGAAACAAAGGACAGGAAGGTAAAACAGATCTTGTATGGGGGTTGGTACCAGTGGGAGGGGGAGGATATAAGGAAAGGGTGAAGCAGGGTGAATATGGTAGAAATATTATACTCATGTATGAAAATGGAGAATGAGACCTGTTGGTAGTGTTCTAAGAAGGGGGAGGGCTAAAGGAGAGTGATGGAGGGAGTGAATTTAAGAAAGATACATTACAAGCACTTTTGTAAATGTCACAATGCACCCCTAGTACAACAATAATATGATAATAAAAATAAAATTAAATTAAGAAAAAATATGTCTGTTAAAAGTATTAGAAATACTTGTAGAATGGTGTGTCCTTCACACACATACAAGAAAATAGAGTAAATCAGCCCGTTGAACTAAAAAAAATTCACAAAAAAATAATATGATAATAAAAATAAAATTAAATTAAGAAAAGAAATATAGATTCCGCTCATGAAAGAAAATTTGGGCTATCTGTGTTTCTGAGTCCAGCTTATTTCACTTAACACTTGCATCCATTTTCTCAAACATAATTTCATTATTTATGGCCAAATGATATTCCATTGTGTATATATATCACATTTTCTTTATTTTTAGTTTTTGAGGAACATCTGTAATAATTTTCATGGTGATTGGACTAATTTACATTCCTTCCAGCACTATGTAAGGGCTCCCCTTTTCCCCATATTCCTATGTCCTCACCAGATTTGTTGTTTTTTTTTTTTTGATAATACCTTTTCTGACTAGGATGAGATGAAATCTCAATGTAGTTTCAATTTGCATTTCTCTGATAGCTAAAAATAGAAAAAATATATTCTTTCAAGTGGCCAAGAAATGTTAAAAGATTGCTAACAGTTTAAATTAAATAATTAGTTTCTAAAAATTAAATAGACCTAATACAGTAACTTTTTTATTATGTAAATCCATTCTTTTGAAGTACTGCCTTGCTACCAGATTACATCGCTTTTCAGAATAAGATTGACAAAATGACCTTGAAAACTATAGAGTAACTTTTAAGCAACGTTTCAAATGTGATAGTTTTGAAAAATATTAACAATGGAATGAAAAGCTTGTTGGGGGATAAAAGGGCCTTTCAAACTCCACAACCTCCCTGAAGCACACTTTTATCTTGAAGGTTACAGGAAATAGTTCACTCTATTCAAGAGGGTATGTGTTTATGAGGTTGAAGATAAGAAAATTATACACAGGTATTCATTATTGGTGATCAGGTTTTAAGGACCACTGGTTTTCCTGGGATTCTCAAGCAAAACTTGGATTTTTGATAGGAAAATTTTGGATTCATTCTATGTAAATCTTGCATTTATTAAGATAAATTCATAGTGGTGAGGATTCTAGATGTAGACATCCTCTGTATACTCTGTATTGCATTCTAAAATTTTACTAACAAACAACTAAAGTTGATTTGCACAAATTATGGAGAGATTGAACGAGGAAAAATTGCAAACAATGAAAGAGTATATGTCTTTATTTGCATACTAGCAACACAGCTATGAGACACAACCAGCCCATGGCAGGGATGTAGGTATGTAAGAGTTAATTTGAGCAGTTACAGGAATGCATGATTTCCCATAAGTATAAGATTGAATTCATCCACTAACACACTGTAATGCTTTCCTGCCTGGCAGTGGTCATGGAGTTTAAAAGAAACAAGAACTTCACAGCACAACTATAAGTCAAGGTCACTGGATTAAAGGAATCACAGCCAGTGATATTAGATCTGTCTTTTCTTTGTTTTTGGTGAGACATGATGAATTCACTAGCCCACGTCACTTCCATCTTAGTGGTGGCAGACTTCGCCGTTGGAAATTTCCCCAATGTCTTTATAGTGCTGGTGAACTGCAGTGACTGGGTCAGGAGACAAGAGGTATCCTCAAGGGATTGAATTCTCACTGCTCTGGCCATTTCCAGAGTTGGTTTGCTTTGGGTAATTATCATGAATTGGTGTTCAACTGTGTTTAATACAAGAGAATATAATGGACAGGTAGCATTTATTGGTCTTATTGCCTGGGTGATGCCAACCATTTTATTTTATTTTTTTGACATTGGCTTAATTTTAATTTAAAGATAATTTTTACATTTTAATAGACACAGTAATAAGATCTTGAGGCAGGCAGTAATAAGATCTTGAGGGAAAGTTTGGGACTTTTAGAAAGTATGAGTTAATATTGTATTTCAGGTTGGATAGTCCTCTTTCTCTGAGACTTCTTTTTTTTTATTTTTTATTTTATTTTATTATTCATATGTGCATACAAGGCTTGGATCATTTCTCCCTCCTGCCCCCACCCCCTCCCTTACCACTCACTCCACCCCCTCCCTCTCCCCCCACCCCCTCAATACCCAGCAGAAACTATTTTGCCCTTATTTCTAATTTTGTTGTAGAGAGAGTATAAGCCATAGTAGGAAGGAATGAGGGTTTTTGCTGGTTGAGATAAGAATAGCTATACAGTGAGTTGACTCACATTAATTTCCTGTGCGTGTGTGTTACCTTCTAGGTTAGTTCTTTTTGATCTCACCTTTTCTCTAGTTCCTGGCCCCCTTCTCCTATTGCCAACCATTTTAGCAACTGGCTTGCAACTGTTCTCAGCATATTTTATTTGCTCAAGATAGCTAATTTTTCCAGTCTTCTATTTCTTCAGCTAAAGAGGAGAGTTGAGAATGTTATTCTTGTGATACTCTTGGGGACTCTGCTGTTTTTGATTTTTAATTTTATTATGTTAAATATAGAAAAGATGGTGATGGTGAATGAATATGAAGGAAATGTGACTGGGAAAAATAAAATACAGGACACCATAACCCTTTCAAGTATTATTATATTTACTCTGCTAAACATCGTACCTTTTATTGTATCACTGATATGTGGCTTGCTATTAATCTACTCCTGTGTAAACATGTCAGGAAAATGAAGTTCCATGGCAAAGGATCCCAAGATCCCAGCACCAAGATCCATATGAAGGCTTTAAAAACCGTGGTGTCCTTTCTCTTCCTATTTGCCATGTATTCCTTCTCTGTAATCTTGTCAGGTTGGAGTTTTAATAAGCTTATGAACAATGCAGTCCACTTGATTTTCCAGGCTGCTGGTACTATCTATCCTTCAAGTCATTCATGCACCCTGATTTGGGGAAACAAGAAGCTGAAACAGGCCTTTCTGTCTGTTCTGGGGCAGACAAGTTATGGCTTAAAGAATGGAAACTTTCAAGTCCATAGGTCAAAAACAGGGACATAGTGTGACTTCTAAGAGAAATTAAACAGATAGGGTCTGTAATATTTTATGCTTCCTATCCTTATTTCCTTAAGTAATTTCTGTATTTATTGTTGTGTTAGGTGGGGGTACATTGTGGCATTTACAAAAGTTCTCACAATATATCAAATATATCATACATCATACCCTCCACCTTTCTCCTTTATTCCCTCTCTCCCCATTCCTGGAGTTGTAGTAAGTAATTTCTAAAGATATACCTAGACAGTCTTTTACTTAAGCTTATTAAATAAAAGGACATATGACTGTGTGTTTATGTGTATGTATGAAAAACATTAGACTATCACTGACATCTTTAATTATTTTTTCTCACAAGCAACCTAATTACACAAAATATGACAGGAAATTTTCAGAATTAGGAAGACAAGTATATTTCACATACATACTGTATATTATCTTTTTCTTGAAGTGTTTATGGTTTATATTTATGTGTTATGAGAAGCTGTTATCTTAGGAAATCTTTGGTACTTTCCATCACACTTTGTATCATATACATGTAATGTTGGATCTGTTCTTGAATGGAAGAACATTCCAGTCTAAGTCACATATCAAGGTGTGTCTTTAGATACACTTTGTTTCTTCAAAAATTGTGCTTTCATGTTTAACTAGAGAGTGAACTGAATTGTTATTATAAAATATGAAAACAATTCAAGAATAATAAAAATTTTTAGAGTAAATTTAGTATGTGTACCATAAGTAGTATGGAAAAATATTAGATTTAATACAATTAGGTGAAAAGCTTAGAAAAATGTCATTGAAGAATGGCATGAAGATTAGGAGACCTGTGGCCTGATTTCAATGCTGTTGTAAGCTTCCATACAGAGACAGGAGAGTTATTTCTTATACTTCTTGAAACAGGAAGACCTTTTTTGAAATTGAGATCTGATGCTAACTACTTCAGTTTTTTTCTTAAACCCTATCTGGGCATCAGAATTGCTAGTCATGTTTTCCCTTTCACATTATTACAATTTCTTTTAAACATGACATGAAGACTCCAACGTTTCCTATGTTAAAAATATGCTTATTGTAAAAAAAAACCTGTAGAAATTATCACACAATTTATGAACCTTTCTGCAACCATTGTCCATTGTCATGGATTCTTTGAAACCTGTGTGATAGTTACAGGAAATTTCTTAAAGATGTGGTTTCTTATTATCTTCTGTCAAATGTGGAGGTAAGAGTAAATGTTTGTATAAGTGACAAATTCTACTGTAGGAAGGAAATTATAACCTGTTCAACAAGTAAGTTCTACATGACTGTATTAACTTTGGGTGCCATGAAATTTTACCACTGTCACCTCAAAGTTAAGGTAGCTCATTTCCATAACTGATTTATTCATGTGATTATCAGTCATATCCCACGGAATGTTATAAGCATCACTGAAGCTGAGATTGCACCTATTTTACTTGCTGTTTATTTATAGCACCTAAAAGCTAGTATAAAAGAGTTGTCAAAATGATTTTTTACTGAATAAATAAATGGATGAATAATGAATGAACTATATGCACATTGGCACAACCAACAAAAAATGAAACCAATCACTAAACCTTTGGGTTGCATGGATTTCTTTATTCTGGTTTCACATGGAAGTTATAGGAGTACACAAATAGAAGCATTTCCCAGAGCAAGACTGAGTACTCCACAATTCTAGAGAGAGTATTGCTAGAATATGGACCTAATGCAGCAGTAGCAGCAGTGTGACCAGCAGGCAAGGTGGAATACCAAAATAGATGGCACTTATGACAATATAGTTGTTTTAAAAAACATATAGAAGATTTTGGTTAAGTTACATATTTTTTTCCATTGTGAATGATATATTATTATTGTGATATTTTCTAGCTACCTATTTTTATACATAATAATGGCATTTTAATTTTAAAAATTATTTAGTGACCAGTTTCCTTTTCTTTTGATGGGACTGGGTATGGAACCTAGTACCTCCTACATGACAGGTGAAATCTACTATTGAGCTACAGCCCAAACCCAATCAATTTACTTCTAAACTGTTATTTATATACACAATTTCCAGTATCCTTTAAAATAAACTTAAAAGTTGCTATATTAGAAAGTCATAAAAAATGAACAGATCAAAATTGTACAAACCAATTAATATTTTAGCTTGGGGTTTCTAAGACCAGATCCAATGTTTGCAATTAAAGTGGTGACATTTCTTTCAAAAGACACATCTGTGGAAATTGAGACAAGAGATGTGAAACACTGATGTGAGGTGTGGTTCTGCTGGCAACACTTTCATAATGAAGTGAGAGGCAGCATGGCAGTCAGCACACATAGTCTCTCAGGGTTTTTTCAGGACCGTTCAAGAAGGACCCAGACAGAGCATCAGTTCTTGGAAGAGAGACTGCAACAGAATTTTGTGTTCTCAGCTCTTTCTGTCTTGTGTTATCCACTTGTTATGGTTTACTCACAGCAGAACTCACATCTCTGTTTTTCTGCCTTACATCATCCAACTCCTTGGTGGCTGTTTACCAAGTCAGATCTCATGGTCACAACTTGCAGTTCCAGTATAGTGAAAAAAGAAGGATAATCTGGACCACACAAGGTGTTGATTGAAAGAATAGGAGATAGTAAGTATATCAGGGAACACACACAAATTGGTGTCCACAACAGTTAATCTTTTCTGCCACTCAGATGTTCTCATGACCTCCAATAGTGACTGAATTTATAAATACATGTCTTGTGTAATTGCAGAGCAAGTATGCTTAGAAGGACCCTTGTTTTAAAGCTCTACTCTTGCCATTTTGATTCTCCAACTCATGATACTTCTGTGCTGAAGAGGGGATGGCCTTGCACTCATTCAGTAGTAGATGGGTCTTCCCTGTTCAAATGAGTCATGTCAGAGACATGCACAGTGGTCTGTCCACTGAAAATGTTTCTTTCAGCTTTGGATCTGCTGAATCATCTGTTGCTTGGACAAAGCCTGCACAAGTAGTACAGCCTCTCTTGCTCTGGGGTGCACTGACACCAGCAGATTTTAGGGTAATGATGAGTTAGAGTGATATCCTCAAAAGTGGTGTATGTGCTCCAAAATTTAAAGACAAGTAAGGACACTGTGGCACTTACACAAATTGTAACAAGGTATGCTGAACTTCTGGTGACCACAGAGTCCCCTTACTGACAATGGAGTTGAAGATTCCCACAAGCTGAGTAAGAAAGTGTTCCAATCTGTGTCAAACTATGCTTACCCATCTATCTATGTATTTCATGTTGGAAAACAGTCTTGTTCCTTGAAGTGTGAAAATTACATTTATAAAGAATACTATCAATGAAATAGTGAGAAGGAGGGAGTTTCAATAATATCTTTACTTGAATTTCTGCTAAATCAGTGTGAAAGTGACCTAGACCTAATTTAGTTTATTTTGAAAGAAAACTACAGGCATTGAAGATATATAGGGAGGGGCTTATCATTATAGAAATGATGAGCTAAGTGGAGAAATGCAAAATACAATTTTGGTTGTTTAAGCCATTTTTGATTTCTTGTATTTGGTAAGACCACTTTATAAAACTGGTCATGAATGAAAAAATTAACAAGAAATGCACTAACTTCTAAATATATGCAAATCTAAAATTTACAAAGAAAAGCATATAAAAGCAGTGCTCCTCTCTGAGAAACTGGCTTGTTATGGGAAAAGTCCTCTGTGCTATTTTCACCTTGTCTGGAAAGACTGTCTTTCTCCAGGAGTTCTTGTTCAAGTGTAAACCTAAGGAGAGTTTCCAGAAGGAAAGGTGCAGTGTGTGTGTGTAGGGTGGGGTGGGATGGAGGGGAGGTGAGCTCAGGGAGAGCTCTTCAGGGTGTGGGTAGCACTGGCTTGGGATATCAGCTCTGCCTCTTTTCTAAAAGCCCACAAACCTCCAGTCTCAGCACCCATTCCATACAGCCCCACCACTGTGGGAGTTGTTTCCATTTCTTTGTCTTCGTTCCTCCTCTTTGTTCCATGGAAGGAGCCAAGCCAGGGGGACCTACCTGCCTCTACAATAAAGGTATGCTGGTGCTTCTAAACTTAGTATTTTCCCCTAAATTTCCTGATATTCTCGTTCTGGCTTAATTTACCTTCTCAGTATGTCTGTCCCTTAAATACTGGGGCATTTGTGATGTCTTAAAACTATTCAAGGGCTAAGCATGAACTAAAGTCTTAATAAATGTTGAGTGAATGGAAAACCTGCATTATTGAAGTAGAAAATGAGGAGGATTTTGATTAGTATAAATGTGTGTGTGTGTGTACACATGTATGTATGATCTTGAAAAGAGTAAAATATGTAAATAAGTATTCTTAGCACCAAGTATTTAAGTATTGTTAGATACATCTGATAGTTTGTAAGAAGAACTTTGAAAAGCATATGCATAGGTTACCATGCAGACATAATTCTGAAGTGTTTAAAAGACTCAGTGCTTATGAAGTTTCATGTACCAGTTTAGATTCTCTTGCCTGCTATATGAGTTAGAGTTTTGTAATGCTACTTGTCTAGAAATTAAGTAGCCCAACTGAAATATGTAGATAAGTAAACAGAAACAGTAAAATGATTTAAATACATGTGCCTTCATTTTCATGTTAGCACATGTGAACTCAATGTTACCTTCAACATCAATCTCAGAAGACTCCAGGCTCTTGTGTGATGCTCATTTGGGCTTTCTGGGAAAATTTTTCCCAGATTTGCAAGATTTCATGAAGAGAAGAATGAACCAACTGACTAATAAATCTTGATGTTTGCCCATTTGATATTGTGTGTGGGGGTTTATAAAAGTAAGCATGTCTTGAAAGTTCAAGAATTAGATCTATTTAAAAACAGAATCATGCAGCATTTCAGATTACATAAACAGATCTTTAGCAGTTTAGTGGCAATTGAAGCATCGTCTTAACAACAACGAGTGGTGTTCTATAGGGTATATTACTATTCATTTTAAGTGTGCAATTCACAATGGGAAATTTAGGAAACGGATTCATAGCACT